CCCCCAGCCGGCTGGGGGTGCCACGGCCGTGCGGGCTGGGGAATTCTGGGAGTTGAAGTCCACTCATCTTAAAGTGGCCAAGTTTGGACAACACTGCTTTAAACCATAAATGCACCACATACCATAATGACAATTCTAAGCACAAACTTGCTGGTCAAGAATTTCTTCAATAGAAATCTCTTAGTACTAAAGGGCTTGTGGGTCTCCAGCCTAATGAGATATAATTTTTAGATATTTATTTTATTTTCTATTCACATTTTTCTTTTTAGGTTGCCAGTACAAGATCACAGGTCCACTTAGCAGACCATATGCCATCTGAATTGGTAATCACACTCCCTACTGTCAGTTTTCTGAATATTAGTACTGATGTTGCTACTTGTTTTACCACTTGTATGCTTCAGTGAATCAGTTTTCAGTCACTGAGCCATTCTTGGAAACCAACAGTCTATTGGGGCATGCACCGCTGAGGCAGCAAGTGAACTTTCAAAGTTGACAGTTAATGGGCACAAGGAGGCAGGGCTGATGTGGTGAGTGGGCTCTCGCCAACTGTCTAGCATGCATAGGGAGGCAGAGCTAAAATGGTAAACCAGCTCTTGCCAGCTGACTGTTGGTATGCATACAGAGATAGGGCTAAAGTGGCAACTGGATTCTGGCCTGGGAATGTGGGGAAACCATCATATCACCTGGTGAAATTGAATCACGCTTTGAAAATTACAGTTAATTACTTCATAATTTTAATGCCTTTATGTGACAAGAACTGCTGACATTGCTGCAAGTGGTTTTGGATAACACAGGTTATTTTGATGTAGTACAATCTGGATTCCTACTTAATTTGGGGACAGAATTAATTGTGCTCATCTTGTGGATGTCTTATATCAAGGAATGGATAAGCAATACAATCCTATTAGTTCCTCGGACCTAAGTGGCCTTCCACGATTCACTATTATATCCTTCTGGTTTCAGTCCTTTCTGAAAAGACAAAGCCAAAAAATGATACTGGAGAATTTCTCCTCTATTCTGTGACTTTTGGGATAACTCAATATTCTGTTTTGTCCCCATATTTTGCATCATCTCCACAAAGCCATTCACAGAAGCCACCAGGAATTTGGGTTGAAGTAACAATTAAACAGGATGAGCTCCTGTTTCCTCCCCAGTTCCTGTCAACCCAACAGGTCGAAAACTCACTTGAGTAGACAAATGGGTACTCTCACTCCGGTGGGAGGAAAAATGCTGGCGGTGCCTTGGAAAAAGGAGTTGGGAGCAGTTGCCGGTAACCGCGAAAAACCCTGCGCACCAGAAAAGGGCGCGAAGCAACGGAAACCCCGCCTCCTGCGCTCGCCAGCTGGGCTCTGCACTAGGAAGGAGGCCCTGGCAAACCACTTCCGAAAAACAATCCCCTTGAAAACTGAAAGGACTCGACCAAGCAGCCACTGCAGGGTCAGCAATGACTGAGCGCAGACAAAAAAAAAAAAAAATCATTTTAGCTAAGTAATTAACTGTTCCTGTCCTCCTATATTCAGTATAGGGTTGCGGTTGCTCTTATTACTTTTATACCCAACTAGAAGACTCGTTTTCTTGATTTTTGACATTTTCAATTATCCAAGTATTTTTCCTTCCTTCCTTCATCACTCCACTCAATATCTTGACTATAATCTGGTACTCATAGCTTGGCTTTTGCCATTCATACTTCATTAAGAAGGGCACTGTATACTAGCTATAATGCATTTTTTTTATTTTTTTTTAGAATTATTATTCAAAACAACACAGAATACAAACATCTCCTCTTCCACCTCAACACAGATAGAATTCAATTTTTTTTCCCAGTCCTTCAAAAAACACAAAAGTTGCTTAAACAGGATAGCACAGAAGAAGAAATAGCTTCAAGGGACTCTACAGAATCTTGCTATATTAAATTCACTTGATTCACTTTGATTTGATTGATTCACTTACAATATTACAATATACATACTTCTGTCATACTTTGTCAAAACATCTCTCACTTGCAAATCATGAGTTACTTGAAACTAAACTTTCCTATAAAATATTGATTTTTTTTTTACTGATTATCTGCCATCAAGTTGGTGTTGACACTTTGTGACCACATAGATATTCTCAATGATCCTTGAAAATAAAAAGGAATATAAAATCCCAACCCATCCAAACCAAACCAAAGAAATAAAACTAAATTTATTAGCAGTGTTAAGATTCTGACTTGTGAGATAACACACATATATTGATATTAAGTTTACCTGGCTCATTATAACCTTCTCTTAAGTACTGAATAAGACAGAAGATGAATTGTGGGAGTACTAGTTCTGACATTATCAACAAATCTTTTGGAACAGATGGAACTTCTGAGCTTGATTTTATTCGATGTCTTTTGCAAAACCTGTAAATAAAGTTATTCAAAATTAAATTCTGACAATTTTTTAAAAAAACATTTATTTATTTTTATTTATAGGCTGCCCGACTCCCAAATGTCCCTAGGTGGATTACAACTAAAAACCAATTTATATTAAAAAAATAGAACAAGCCAGAAAAGGAAAGTACAAAAAAGAAAAATAAAAGAAAGCAAGACCAGACCAAAAAGGGGACTCCACAATCCCTCTGTCCCAAAGGCCTGGGAGAACAACCAGGTCTTCAACAATTTCCTGAATGAAATAAAGAATGATGTTTGCATATAGTTGGAAAACAACTCAAACAAAACAATGTCATACAGAAGAAAGTAAAGAACTGTTCTCTATTGCCACAGAATACAAAACTCAACACAAAGGAGTTAAGTTGCAGGAAAGCAGATTCCAATTTAATGTTAGGAAAAGGTCTTAACCATAACAACAAATTGAACAGTGCAGCCAGTTACAGATAGTCCTCGGGTTATGATGGCAATTGGGAGTGGAATTTCTATCACTAAGCAATGCAGTCATAAAATGCAATGTCATGTGACTGCATCACTTAGCGACAGCAATCCTGGCAGTTCTGGTTGCAACTCCAGGATTGCATGGGTCATTAAGTGGGAAGAGGTGGGAGTCTCAGGCAAGCAGGTTGATGGGTATGCAGGTGCTGTGTGGGGTGCCACAGCAGGTGCTCTAGAGCTTGGGCAGGTATACAGGTGCTGCTGCAGGTAGGCACTCCGGAGCATGGGTAGGTGCATGGATGCCATGGGGGGTTGCTGCAGGCAGGTGCTGTGAGCACGGGTAGGTGTGTAGGGAAGTACCGCAGGCAGGCACTACAGTGTGCAAGCGTGTGAAAAAGCAGCAGGAGCAGGAGCAGGAGCAGGAGCAGGAGCAGGAGCAGGAGCAGGAGCAGGAGCAACTTCTAACTTCCTGCCAGCTTCCCCACTGACTTTGTTTGTAGAAAGCTGACAGGGAATGTTGGAAATCATGATCACGTGACTGCGGCTCACTGCGATGGCATGAGTCCCCCTTGTGCAGCACTGTCGTAACTCTGCATGGTCACCAAACAACGATTGGTAATCAAAAAGATACTGGCTCCCCTTCACTGGACGTGTTCATTACTGGATGTGCCAAATGGAGGCTAGAACTATCAAGGATCTTTAAAACTGGATTTCTACACTGAGCAAGGGATTGGTCTCAATGGCTTAAATGGTCCCTTTTAATTCTATGATTCTATGATTATTCACTGGATCTTAATGCCACACTTAAGCCAATCTGTATACTTGCATGAAATCACAAAAAAACCTAGTCTATTTATAACTACTTTTTAAATACTAACACTTCAATAAAAGTTGATGATTACTTTTTAATATAATAGTATTATTCAAACTTGGAGCTTTTCTGTGCCATGAATTCAGATAAAGAATTGCTTCCTGAAAGAAGACTAGCCCCTTTTCTTAAGCAAGAAGTAAAAATAATTTTATTTCATTTTTTTCCCAAAAAAAAATTATATCAAACCAATTAACAGAAAAAATGTATACATATAACATTGCAGTATACCACCAAAATCAATGTTTTTCAAAAGAAAAATACATGGAAAATTATAAATAGGGCAACGTTAAAAAAGCAACACTTTCTTGTCTGTTTGTAAAAAAAAAAAAATTAAAATTTTGTCAAACAAAACATACTAACAATCTATTGAGTATTGATTTTTCCTTCCAGTGTTACATAATGTTTCTTTTAACCAGTTCTCAAGCATGAACGGCTCATAAGTACTGACTGATACCAAGCATATAACCAAGCAGAACGTATGCATCTTTGACCAAACTGAGCCCTCCCCCTGGCCAAAGCTGCCACCTGAATCCAAACAGGTCAGTGCAACCCCACTTAGAGTCTCCAGTTCCAGGACCCATGGGGACCCAAACCCATAGCCACTCAAACTTGGAAGGGTTAAGCTGAAGCCTGTTCTTCCCCATCCAGACTCCCACATTTGGGCAGAATTTTGACAACTTTGCTCGGCAGCCAGAGGCAGAGACGTACAATGGGGAATTATCAGCATACTGATGATACTGTACCCTGTGCTGATGATGACTTCTCCCAGAGGCTTCATGTATATCTTCAAGAGGAAAGGGGAGAGCCCTGTGGCACCCACAAAGCAAGAGTTTGGACTAAGCCAACACAACAACTGGAGCTGGTCCTGGAGGAAGAAGGAGAACCACAGCAAAAGGGTGCCTCCCACCCCCAACTGAGTATCTGGTCCAGAATGTTACCACAGTTGATGGTATCAAAGGCCACTGAGAGATCAAGGAGGGCTAGGATGGGTGCACGATCCTCATCCCAAGCCCATCACAGGTCATCCACAAGTGCAACCAAAGCTGTCTCAGTACTGTTATCAATGAATTATTTTTATTTAATTATTTCCCTCCCACTACAAACAACGAAAAGGAAATTATTTAGATTAATCAAATGGGTAGTCTAAAATTCGTGCTGGTCTAAGGATGTGGAAAAGAGTTGGAAGGTAGCCTTAAGAACCTTAGATTGACTAAGTCCAGCCTTCGGCATGACCTCAAAGTATCCCAATGAATTGTATGACATTTTCACAGGGGCAATAGTTTGTGCCCTCAGTGATTTACTGAGCGAACAGACATAACAGTATTAACTACAGGGGGTTGGGTAGCAGGAAATGGTGGAATGATAGAGGGTTGCTGGATGTGACATGGCTGCAAAACGAGTAAGTCAAGGGCAGCTGCTAGGAACAAGTTGTATGTATGTATTGTCCATATGTATGTATTTATATAGCTGCTTATCTCACAATAGCAACTCTCCAAATAAACATGAAAGAAACTTCCAAGCCTTCCTCCTATCTATCCTGTACACCAATTATAGTCACCTGCACATATACACCTCTCCAACTGGGGACTCCCCAAATTGATTTCTGAGTGCATGTGGGCAGACAGATGGCAAAAAAGGCATGTGAGTTTCCTCCTCTGTAAGGAAAGCAGGTAGATTTGTTCTATACTTCTTCTTGTACCATGCTCTTTAGTTGCCTAGGTGTTAAAGTGAAAACGTTTTGTCCTCTCTTTTTGCTGCTATCTCCATTTCATGTTACCTCCTGTTGATCTTAAAAAGCACTACAGGTTGCAAGCATTAGGTCACTGCAGGTCATTAAGCACTGCGGATGATAAAGCTCAAAGTTGAAGAGAGTGGGACCATGTACATGCAGCCCTGCCCTGCATCTCTTCAGCACTTTCTTCCACAACAAATTTCACCCCAAAAGTTCAATGGAAAAGAGTAATTGTCATTGCCTTCCAAAATGTTAGCAGGAGAAGAACCATCTTAACCTTGGGAGGAATTCTCTGACCCTGAGAATAAAAATGGATGTTTCTAAAATACTGCAAAACAAGGACAGATGGACATATTTGTGGTTTCAAATAAGCAATCAGCATTCTCCCCATTAAATCAAGATTATGTTAGAAAAATATCAAAGGCAATAGAAAAGCCTAGCCCTACTTTTTTTTTTTAATCCATTCAATTGTGTCTGATTCTTGGAGATTGCCTGGACAAGTCCCTGCAGTTTTCTTGGCAAGATTTTTCAGACGTGATTTGCCATTGCCTCCTACCTAGGGCTGAGAGACAGTAACTGGTCCAAGGTCACCCAGCTGGCTTTGTGCCTAGGCAGGACTAGAACTCATGGTCTCCTTGTTTCTAGCTTGATGCCTTAACCACTACACCAAACTGGCTCTCAGTCCTAATATACTCACTGATAAATGAGGTGCACAGAGTCAGTTTTCAAGATTCCATAACCCCTTTGCTCATTGCAATAAACCTGCCTACTCTGAATCCTTGAAAATCTCACTTCCTCCTGAGCTAGGGAACTGTAAAACAAGAATGCTTGTTTCTGACCACTCTCCCATAATATCCTGAGAAGAGAGATTCTCAGCTGAGGCAAAACACGTGGGCAGATTCTACCTGAATCAGAAGATCCCAAAGGTAACAAGGACCCAAGCCATAATGACCTTTATTAGTGATAACTAACACCTTGAATTGGGCCTAGAAGCCAAATTATAACCAGCAGAGCTCTCATAGTGTTAAAGCTACTGTATTCTGCTAGACTGGAGCTGAGTAGTCAGCAAGTGAGTAGCTGTATTTTGTACCAGCTGTTGCTTCCAAATCATCTTCGTAGGCCACCTCATGTAGAGCAAATGGCAGTGATCCAGATACGAGATTACAGTATAAAGGCATAGGTAACTGTTGTCAGAACCTCCTAATTCAGAATAGGTCACAACTGGTGCACCAGTCAAATATGGCAAAGGTTTTCCTGGCCATGACTTCCTCCTAGTATTTGAACAGGAACTGTGAGTTCAGGGTGATCCATGAATTGTCAATCTGCTCTTTCAGGGGTAATGGCACTCCACCAAGAGTTACAGATGGAGCAATTCTGGAAGCAGAAGGCACCTAAACAAGCATCACTTCCATTTTGCTGGAATTCATCCTAAACTTGATCTGTCCCATCCAGTCCCTAACAACCTCTCCATGTCAGGACTTGTATCATATCACCTGCTCAGCCCAGGGTAGACAATATACAGTTTGGTATCTCTGAATTCTGTTGGTACCTCATCCAGAACTAATGGATGACCTCTCCCAGAGGTTCTGTGTAGACATTAAAGAGGATGAAGGAAAGGGCCGAAATCATATTGGAGTGCCCAAGGGCCTGACCTCTCCTCCCAGAAACACCAATTAGAACTTACATAGGGCAGGAAGGAGAAAGGTATGTAAGAGGGTTTGAATAGTATTTCTATACAGATAGCTGTTTCTTGAAACACATTCCTGAAATTATTTGATTATAGCTTCCTACTTCTTTAATAAATATTATGTATCAGAAGTTCTTTAAATATGTATGCTTAAATGGTTCAGTCCTGCCTGTGGGATGAAACCTGACGGATCTTGAAGTAGGGATACACAATTGCCTCTTTCAACGCTAATGACATCAACCTAG